CCCTAAACCCTACAAATTAAACCCTAAATTCTAAAACCCTAAACCCTAACGAACCCCTAAAACTCTAAACCCTAACAAACCCCTAAAACTCTAATACAAATCAAACCATAAACCCTAAATCCTAATACAAATCAAACCTTAAACACTAAAACCCTAAACCCTAATCGTACTGGAATTTTTCATATAATCGTATTGGAATTATTGATGAATGTAATGTTTTACTTTAATTTTTAACTTAATTCACAGTGCGAACAAATAGATTTTGTACTAAACTGATGAATATATGGTTTATTAATCTACTAGACTATCAGAATATGGAGGATAATAATAGCACAGGACCGTATGATTCATCTGTTTTACATCTTCAAGCTAGCCGATCTGAGTTGGTCTGGCAAACTGGATACACCGACCCCTTACATTGCAGACGTCGAGAGGCTAYTATTAGTAGGGTGACACGTCCAGATCCTCATATAGATCCATATCTACGACAAGTAGAATTTTATGGTGTTTCACGTTTGAATTTTATACAATTAGACTAGCATTTGATCACAGCTTTGGTGGAGCGATGGCGACAAGAGACGCACACATTTCACTTGCTGCATGGAGAGTGTACCGTCACATTACAAGATGTCACCATCCAATTTGGACTACCTATAGACGGGAAAGCTCTTATTGGATCATTTCAGCACACTTGGCGGGATGTGTGTACTGAATTACTAGGAGTTACACCAGGAGAAAGAGATTTAGTTGGTGGTCGTCTTAGCTTACCATGGTTGGCAAACCAGTTTGATGATTTTACCCATCTGCCAGATGATGTTGATGATGTAGCTCTACAACGTTATGCTAGGGCATACATTCTTACCCTTATTGGAGGTATTGTATTTTCAGATAAGTCGAACAGTAGAGTGCAAGTTGATGTACCTACCTCTACTAGTAGATTTTGGTATAGCTGGACAGTACAGTTGGGGTGCAGGTTGCCTTGCCTGGCTTTATAGACAGTTATGCAAAGCTGTAGCTATAGATGCACAAGATATAGCAGAGCCAGTTATATTACTACAAATTTGGGCATGGGATCGCTTCCCTTTATTAGCACCCCGCAGACTCCATATACACGAGAATAACTTAGGAGATAGACCATTGGCAGTACGGTACGTAATTTTATTTTTTAGTTCAAGTAATTCACACGTATGTTTCTTCAATAAAAACTAACATTCAACTTCTCATAAATGTAGATGGAATGATGATTTTAGAGTTACTGAATCCCCGACTCACGTACTTATCCAATACCAATTCATGTTGGATCAACTCATGCCGGATCAAGTATTATTAATTTTATTTATGTATGATTGTTTATTAACGTTGAATTTATTTTTTAGGCTTATCTTACAAAATTAATGAAGATTATTTGGGAGCCATATAGGCACTTATTTGGGCGCTTACCCGAGTATTGCCTTATTGGTCAGCATATATGGACGACTAGGAGTCCTCTCATATGTTTTTATGCGGTAGAATGGCAATTTTCCGACCGTGTTATGCGTCAATTTGGGTGGGTACAATATATTCCTGTACATTGCAACACAGATATACGTCTCCACACATATGACCTACGCGGGCGTCATGAACAAAATTGGGAACAAACTTTGGCTCCCCAGATTCAGGAGTGGGAAAACCGCCAAAATAATACTATGAATGGTCTCCCTATAATGAGGGTGCAGACGTTGATCATAATTATAATACTTGGTTCAATCGCATTAGTGGAGATTTCTCACCAAGGCAGGAGCATCATATAATTATTTGGTAATTAACATCATAACTAAATTTTTATACCACCTTATTTACCAGTATTAAACTTGTTTTTTTTATCTTTTTTCCAGAATGTCATGCCCAATATGACTGATAGCGGTAGAATCCATTTATCTAATATTATCGAAATATATCGATCGATGCATTTTGAAGGAGTGTTACCAGATCGTAGGAGAAGACGACAACGAAGAGGAGCTAATATCCTTGATGATGATCCAAATGACCAAGAATAGGAATTAGGTTTAAGTCTTAATTTTTTTCTAAGAATTTTGAGGTTTGTTGTATTGTAATCAATGAAATTTCAAGACATGCAATTTCAATTTTAACTATGTATTTTTTTTTATGAATTTTGATGTTTGTATTTATGAAGYATATTTAATCGAAAATTAAAAAATTTAGATAAGTTATGAAGTTTGAGTTTTGATTTTATTATAAAAATTTATTAATTATTAAATTAATAAAAATATGAAAGACATATGTTAATATAAAAGAATAAAATATTTTTTAAAAAAGTAGTCATCAAAATTTGGAACATTTATTAATATAAAGTAATAAACTCTTAACCTAAAATACTCACAAAATAATATAAATATATAAAACAATTAATTCAAAAGAAAAAAACATAGTGATGTCCATTCAACGAAAACCGGCGACGTATGTATCCCTCTAAGATGAGATACGAGTGAAGTTGTTTAATACGAATATAAAAATCAGGATGAGATGTGAAGGGAAGTAAAAACAAAATAATAATAATAAAAAAAAATCGGATGTGTCTCTTCAAGAGACGCATCTAGTCGGTCTGTCAGCTCTCCTTACGCCGCCATCAGGTCTCGTTACGTCGTCAAGCGCCGCCTTACGCCGCCATCAGGTCTCGTTACGTCGTCAAGCGCCGTTCCGTTATGCCGTCCGACAGAGAACTGAATGCGTCTCTTCAAGAGACGCATTCGTATAAAACTAACCAAATGCGTCTTTTCAACAGACGCAACACTCTAAAAACTAAAATATTTCAACCCTCACYCGTTTTTTCAATTAAGTTCGAAAAGGTCTTCAATTTTTCAAAAAACCCGATTTAAATAGATGAGGAAAATAAGAAATAAATTTGAAATCAAATTTAAATTTGGGTCATTGGATCTTTAATGATTGAAAAATGAAATGTTGAGATTTAATTGAATAAAATAATAATAATATATAAACTTCCAACGGCTACTACTGGAGGATTTTTTTTTTTAATTGTTAGGGGAGCATTTATGCAAAATTGTGTTCATGTTTTTAGGAGAGCTTTTTATGCTATTAATTATTTTTGTTCTTTTTTATGATTCCAAAGGGGGAGAAGTCTAAGAAAAATTTGATCTAAAATTGTTTCATGATTTATTGGTTTATTAATTCATGGATGTATCAATTCAGGGGGAGAAATTAATCTTTGAATGGTTTTTAAGTATGCTATTTTGGTTTTACTATGATGATTATTAAATGTCTGTATATTTTTCTTTGGAAGTTTGTCATCATAAAAAAGGAGGAGATTGTTGGCTTTTTGGCCCTTAATCCCAAATTAATTAATTTTAATTAATTAATTAATCTATGTTTTGATGATAACAAACTTAATTTTTATTTATTGATAATTTTAGTTTTTTAAAGTGTCCACAGCGTAGAGCTCGTTACAATAATTCGAACGACTATTAGATCATCCAAATCGGAGCTCAAATGGAGAAGTTACGATCGAAACAAATTGGAAGGAAAAATATCGGAGAAGATGACATGGACAGTTCGTAAGCTGACAAGTGACAAGCTTCTTTTTAAAAATATATATATTGAAAAAGAAAAGAAAAGATTAAAAAAAATTAAAAATTAAATTTTTTTTTACATCATGTCAGCATTAAATGTTGACATCATGTGCCAGTATTTAAAAAAAGTTTTGAAAATTTTTACCGTTTCTCACATATATATATATATATATAATTCAAAACTATATATATATTTTTTATTTTATTTTATCATTATTATATATATATATATATATTATATATATATATATATATAATTCTTAATTTATTTTTTCAAAATTATCTCAACCCTTCATTTTTAATAATTATGATCTAATGGTCCAAAATTAAACTTGATCTTTTTACTATTTTCTTCCCTCTATTTCAACTCAACTCCTCCTTCAAAATTAAATAACAATTCTCTTATTCTCAATACTTCATAACTTCAAAATTCTCATTTGCTAATCTCTCTAAGTTCTCAATTTTTCTTTCCATCTTATTTGTGAGAGAAATTTATTGTTGTGATGATTGAATTTTTTGTGAGCTCAAATTTGTATATTTACTCTATTTGAGGGTTTGTACGTGTGTTTAGAATTCCAACTCATTGTAACGGTGTGATCCTCACCATGGAGAGAATCATCTTTGCTCTTGTGAAGAGCAGTGTATCGGTTTGACTCCTACCGTGGAAAGAGTCAGAATTTCAATTTACAACCCAAGAGGTGCTTGGGAAGTGGAGTAGGACAATTGTGYCGAACCACTATAAAAATTCCCAGTGTCAAATTTCTCTAACTCTCTCTCTTATTTATTTTTGCAATTAATCTTAGAATTTTATTGTTTGCTTTAAATTTTTCTTGTTTGCCTTAGAATTTATTTTATCTTACCATTATTTTTGTTTAAATTGGGCCCATTTATTAAAAAGTTTATATTTTGTTAATTAAATCCTATTCACCCCCCTCTAGGGTTGTCATACACATGTGACATGGTTTGGGCTTACCCTAAACCATGTTTACAAGCCCACCGAAGCTTTGTAATCTCTTAATTGATTATTAATACCCATATTCATGCAAGATGCTCTAACCATATGAACTAAAAAGAAGCCGCTAGTTTATAAAAAAATCTTAGCTAACTTCTTAATTTTCGGTAGAATGGGTTCAACTTCAACTTGATTTTCTATACCCACTACAAGACTTATTTTATAAAACGTTTTTCCAAGGGATGAACTTCCCATGTAGTATAAATTGTGGCTTAAAGGCTTGTTTTTACATTGTCACTCCTCACAAATACCACGTCAAATAAATTTATATAAGTTATATGGATGTGGGAAGAATTTGAATAGGGGTGGAGGGAAGAAGAAAATAAAGACTCAGTTTGTCGTAACTCAAAACGTATATATAAATTACATCAGATTTTGTAATTTAGAAGACAAAATTTTACTCTTCCTTTCGAAAATTATAGGTCGAAATTCAATTAGGAATTAACATTGGTATTTATTTCATTTAATATTTCAATTATATTATAATAGATATCACTGGCCAGATATTTATGAATATATGTTATATGGATGTGAGAATGTGAAAAATAGGTYAAGTCATAGTTTTCCCTTTTACTTTATTTTTTAATTAAGGTATTTAGTATTGTTTATGTGTGAGTTTTTTTCTACATGAAAAAAGTGATTAATATGATATTATCTAAAAAATTCTAGATAATATTATCCAAACAGATAGTTTCTTTCACATATTTCAAATTTTTACGCATACTATTTTATTATGCACGACCGCGTGCAATGCACATTATTAATTTTTAAATATTAACTTATATTTTTAGTTATATTGTCAGTGGGAAAAAATGAGAATGTGATTGGGTGGAAAAGGAGAACACGTAGTTAATGAAAAAGTGTATTAATGAGGGAGAGAAATAAAGTTATTAATTTAACCATTTTTTGTGGATAAATGACTTGGTTGAATTGAACATAGATAACTCAATATCTTGGTTGAATCGAGAAATTTATTATCAATTCGTCTCACGTTTCACTTGATAATGAGATATGATGTATTTTTTACAAAGTGTATTCCACACTCTTGAAAACTTTCATTATACATCACGTATTGGATTTGAGTTTTCGAAAAAATAAAATATCATAGCAGTACTAAAATAAAATAGAAAAACAATAAAGTGAAAATACTAATAGAAAAATAATATTGTGAAAAGATTATATCTCTTATTCACCGTCAAATAGGCCTTGATGATTTGTATATATCTTTATTGTTCTTCTTCAAATTACTATAACTTTTGACAATTCATCTTCTTGAAATTGCTTTTCAAAATTCTTCAACGAGATATAATTTTAGAAAGACATGGTGATATAACAATTAAAAATAGAAAAAGAAAGATGAAATTGAAACATAGAATTGAAAAGAAAGTGATGAATGACATTGATAAACTAAGAATAACTTTGGCTAAAGGGAGAATCTTTTTCTTTTCATTTTGCCATTTTAATTTAAACATTTCCTTCCTACTTTGATGACAATTGTGCCATTCATCTCTCTCCTCTCTTGAAGTCCCCACCCTCTCTCCCCACTGTTACCTCTCATATTCCACTCATCCATCTCCTCCAACTAAATCTCGGAAAATTCGATTGAATAGACATTTTAAAAAGTAGTACTGTTTTTTACCCACTCTTTTCAAAACATATGTTTTCTGATCGTTACTGACATCACCCTACATATCAAATTACCTTCACTACCCCTCCACTCTCTTTCTTCCTATTTTACATCAAACTCCTCTCTCTCCTCCAGTTTCTTTTTCTTTCTCGTTTCTTTCTTCTTTCTCTCTCTTCTCAATCTTCCTCTTTTATCTCTCTTCCCAAATCATTTGCATATGAAATAAAGGAAAAAAGACAAAATTTTCCTTTTAGTATTTTTCCCAACTCTTTCCCCCTCTCTTTTGAAATCAAATTTTCCAGATTTCCAAAAACTTTCCTTCTTTTGTCCAACTAAAATAAAAATTTCTACATTTTCTGACAACCACCCATTAGTCTGAAAATGAAAGGAAATGGAACCCAAGATTTTCAAAGCCTCATTTTCATATTCCTCTTATCTACTTTTGCGTTCCTTCTAAATTCTGATGAAAGAAGGATTTGAACGATTTCTGCTTCCTACAACTCTGCAGCTCAAGCAGAAGCAGGTAAAACTATTCCAAATGCGTCGAGGATAGAGGAGAGAGAAGAGAGAGGAGAGAGGAGCGAGAGGGACGGAGCGAGATCGAGAGGGCGAGAGGGAGAGAAAAATCGAGAGGGAGTTTTTTTTCTTTACTGTCACCTAATTGAATTAAATTAAATTTTAAATTTATGATTAAATGGGCAGATTTATGGGGAAGAGATTTAGGAAAAAACGAGATATTTTTTTTTTTACTTTCACCTAATTGGATAAAATTTTAAATTTACAATTAAAGGAGTACTACTTAATTAAATTATA